CCCCAAAACCCCAAAACCCCATCGTTCTCAATTACGCAATTCAAAGAGTGTGAAGGCCATATATACACTTTTATGAATTTAAATATTATAAATTGTTCTAATTATTGTTCAGCATGAACTCTCTGGGTATTTAGCAATAGTTAATTAAGGAAGTCGTCCCTTTAGTATCATAGATTATTAATGAAGTCTCTGATAAGCTAATCTTAAGCACATCATCAAATGAAAACAAGAAAGTAGCAGTAGATGTAACCACTTTGAGGGAAACTATTTTGAAATGCGTTTTTATTGATGGATATAATTTGCAGTATCTGTCAACTCAAACCAATGCAAAGGAGCTTTCAATAGAAGATACTGAATCAAAAAAGTCTAAGAATATTCATGGAAAGTAGCTTGAAAAAGAAATCTAAGCAATACCCTCGCTAATATCATCAACAATCTCTCAGTATTTGAGTAAAAGTCATTCAAATATTCTCTAAAAAGATAAAGATAATTTTAAGTAACAGAAACTGAATCATTATTTTGACAAAGACTTTACATCATATGGCCCAGAATAGCTCTCAGAATAAGTAAACAAAGCATTATAAAAGATTAATAAGTAAGACTAGAGTTCTCAAAATAGTGAAGAATCCTTTAAAATCAAAATAAATAAAAGCATTCTTTTGTTCACTGAGGATTGACTGTTATATATCAACCAGAATTAGGCTATTAATATAATTAATTTATAAAAATGTTATTAAAATCTCTGTTAAAGCATCAGTCAAACCATCAAATACATAGATAATCAGTTGTTATAACCTAGATTGCAATCAGACAAAGACACTCAATGACCAATCTATATGGTAATATCGAATAAAATATTTATTAGCTATTAGAAACTCTGGGAGTAAGCCACACAGCTACAAAGGAAGAAATTGAGACTCAGTACAAGCAAATGTGTAGAGTGCTTAATGTCAAAGCGAATCCTGAACTTAAAGTATTCCTGGATGATCTTACTCTGTATTATACGATAAAAATTCTAAGCTTGAAATAGGGCATATGATACTCTGATTCAAGATGAAAGTAGAGCTGAATATGATGAGTATGTATCATAGCATATAATGTTATCTCGATTGTGGGCGAGTGTTGATAAAGAAGAAGGAGACAATGAAGAAGCTGAAAAAAGAAAAAAAGGTAAAATCATAAATGATTAACTTCGCTTTATTAAAGAGAGAGGAAAGAGGAGATTTGAAGAAGATTATGACTTTGCAAATGATGAATTCTTCTCATCATGGAAAACAAGAACCAAATCAGGTTAGTAGTAAAGTGGTCAACATGCTGAAAATGATGCAGGGGCAGAGTCAAATAAATCACGTTACGATGGAAGAGACATAGTCCTTGATATATCAATTTCATTCTAGGAGTCATTATCTGGAATAGAAAAAGAGCTTTCATATTAAAGAGACTCTATTTGCGGCTCGTGTCAAGGATCTAGAGAGACCCCAGGATCATCTAGCAGTTTGTGCTATTCCTGCAAAGGTGAAGGTGTTAAAAAGGATCCGCTATTCAAGAAAGAAGCAAGTTGCAACACTTGTAATGGTCATGGCTATTTAATTAAAAATCCTTGTAAAGGTTGTAATGGGCAGGGATTTAAGACTGAAAATGTCAAGTAAAAAGTTCTGATTCCTAAATTTTGCGAAGATTAAAGTGTTATTGAAATTGATGAAAGAGGGCATTAGACATTATTTAGAAGTAAAGGCCATGATGGTAATTTGTTTATCAAGGTAAAGGTCTAGAAAGACTAAGAAACAAGAAGAGAAGGTCTTGATATTATATCAAAGCACTAGATTACGTTGACAGAGGCATTACTAGGCTGTTAATTATAAATTAAGACTGTTGCAGGCGATTAAACTTTGAGAATTGGACCCGAAGACTTAGTTGCTGGATCATAGATAGTTCTAAAAGGAAAGGTAATTACCAATGTATTAAATAATATATAGGGAGTATATGATGTAGAGAAAGGCCAAGGTAATCATATTGCTGAGATACAAGTAAATATCCCGAAAAATTTGAATCCTGATAGCAGAGCATTAATTTAATAGTTCTCAAAGAATGAATAAATAATAAACACATATGATCCCTCTCACATAACTTATGACCAAGTAAGGGAAAAGATGAAGTAAGACAGAAAATCTCATAATACAGTTAATAATGATGAAGCTACTAAGCATAGTTCATTTTTCTCCAGATTTGGACTCTGAGTTAAAGACCTTATTTTCATTTAATCTTAATTTCATCAATCTTATTTTTTCTAATCTAGAAGCTTGGGGTTTTGGGGTTTTGGGGTTTTGGGG